AATGATTTCCAACAGTCGTGGTGGCCAGTCACAATTCTTTTAGCTAGAAGCATCTGCCGGGAAGAGAGTGCCACTGGCCAAAAAACTTGCCTGGGAACTGTGCAAAAAACGCATCCTCGCCCCGCTGCCGGTACGCTTTCGACTAAGTTTTTCATTTCGGAAAGCATTTTCATGATTTACCACATTTTGTGATTGTTTGTTTAGTTAACACAGAATTTTAGATATTATGCGAAAAATAGTCAGTAGTTAGCTGTAAAGTTAATTCAGAAATATCGCAAATACCAAAAATTTCCGGACAATCACTGTGGATATATCATGCTGGTAATTTTGCAGAAATACTCCAGCCAAGCGCAGCCACGTTAGAATCTTTGTTTCTGGGTTGCATGCTTCCAGTTAGTACCCGCAGCCTAGTCGATGAATGCGCGGCACTTCTTCGGGAACCTCCGAGTGATCGCTTACATTTCTCATGGGTATCACTCACTAACACGCAGTGTCCACTAACTGTCGGCATGCAAGCCTAGCCATGGATATTCATTGTTTGTGTTTTTAAAATTTCTGAAACAGAATAATTAAAAACTGTAGATTTTAACACAGACACATATGGAGAACTGACAGTTTAATTGAGATTAAGGCGTTTCGGTCCACTAAGTTGTGTATGTCCTATACACATTCACTGTACCATTTATATGGTAATTAAGTTTCTAAAAAATTCTTCGCATTTGGAGAAGTGGTAGGTGTGTTTGATCATTACGAGAGTCTGTGGATGCAACGAATTCCATGCGGAGAAATACTCGAAATCAGAATACGAGGCCGGATCATAAGCCGATTCATACAGAGTTTTTTTTCTCCTGAAAAAGCATCTTGGGGTATCAACCTTCTCCGGGAGCCGATGCAGCTTGAGCTAGATAACTCTGGGTGGCGACGCACCGAGTCATGATCCATATAGAATATCCCGGGAAATGGAGCAAAAAGTGTCGTAGAGTACCAGTGCTCAGAAGAAGCTTGAGCAGCTCGAGCTGCGCAACTTCGGGTGGCGGCTTCTGGATGCCTGAAAGTGTCAGTCCGCCACAATCGATGGCAACATATGTAATGCGTTTCTTTGCTGCCCAAAAGTGCATTTCCCCGGCCCCTGCGCTAATTCCCTGGAAAATGTGTACTTTTTTCAAAAAATTTTTTCTTTAAGTGCGAAGATTTTATGTATGTGTATGCCGGTATGTGGGGAGATGTCTGCGTGGAATTGTGCGCATGCTTATGTCTGGATGCAAGTATGTTTGTGTATTTGTGTTTATTTGTGTGTGTTTGTGTGTGTGCGCTTGTATGTTTGTGTATGTACACCCACATCCCTCACATCTTTTTTCCTCAATACATTCCTCCTCCCTCTATTTCTTATTCTTTGTTCGGCTTCTTCCTCTTCCTCCTCCCATTTCTTCACCCCCATATTTTTCCGCTTTTGGCCCATATTATGGCATATTTATGTGGTTTTTAAGCCAGCGGTCTGTATCGGCTGTCCGTACCATCTGGCTTCCGACGCACACTCGCGCACACACACTCCTTTCGACCTCTTGATGCCCTCACATAGTGCTTTTTTATTGCGTTGCATATTTCTGCTTACAGTTGAAGCAGTCGTAGCAGCACCAGCATCCAAGACGATTGTGGGCAGTGTGCAGTCCAGTCGGCCGGCAATCGCTTCGACTGTGTACTACGATTTCTCGGTTTCTTTGCGCATTTCCCGTGTGGTGCATCTCAGCGGTAGTGTATCTGTCGCGAATGTTTTGGGCAAGCTGAAATACCACTCATTCGTTTTTTAGGCTAATGGCCCTGGAACATCGAAAATAACAGACTATAATGTCTTGACAAGTTTCATTAACTTTTTAAGTTTTATTAATTTCCTAATATTATTTGCTTTTTCTTCTTCCAACATTAAAATACTTTTATTGATAAAATTAAAAGCGTTTTTTTAAAAATTTTGGAGAGACAGAGTATTTAAATCAGTAACACTGCCAAATACTACAAGATATATTTGATATCCCGGAAGTCCTGCGAAATTCTGGCAAGAACTGACCTATTAGTTTATACCGGAATACTTGCGTGTAAGTCACTTACATATCATTCTCTGCTGTCTAATGCTGCTTCTAATTTATGAATTAACTTTGATAATAATGATGGTTCAAAAAAATCTCCACAGTTAACTCTGTTTAAGAAAAAGATGTATTCGGAAGTAACCCGAGTGTTAGCACGTCCCGACACTGACTATCTGTTAGCTAGGCTGTTGATGGCTCCCTCTTTCACAAGTTGCCTACAACCAAATTGTTGACGATCCTGGCATGCCCAGTACCAATTTACCATCGAAAATGACGTAGGCGAATCGTTGAGGAATCGTTGAGGGATTGGTTATTCCGCTGACCACTAGCATGGGAGTGGCGCTTCATCTCACTGCGCTGTGCCGCCCGCCAGAACGAATGATTCATACTGTAACAGAAATGCAGAAATCATCAAGATTGCTCGGGAAATCAGTTCCGATGTTATTGCGCTGTAGCCACATTCCTGATTTATGTACCAGTCTTCCCGATTTGCGTAGATTCAGTTAGCACGTTGGCAATAAGAATAATTCTAACTGTAGCAAGACTAAGCAGTAACCAGTATTTTTGTGCGATTCTGAGTGATCGAAGTTTGTCTCCGTTTTTGAGCCTTGGTCCCCAGCTGCATCTTCAGATTTTGACGTGAATTGTTATTGGTACCTCGCACAACTGCGCTGAACGTGTGGAAGCATTCCAGTAACATTACTAATCTGGGATCCCTACACCAACTATCCGGATGATCTTGCTATTTTTAGTATCATCGCTGAAAATCGGAGAAACTATGAATCTGAAATTTGGAGGTGAAAGAGAGGGAGGAGGAGGGAAAAAGGAAAAATCCAGTGAACAATGAAGGACATAAGTTTTCGCGATTTGCTGTATCCGAACCTTTGATCTTAAAGTGAAACTCATTCACTGCATATTTAGCTATGCGGTTGCATAATGTAAGCAGGCAGGCACGTGGTTAAATATAGGATAAATTCGGTCCGATTTTTGCTTCCATCAAAAATCACTTTTATTGCAGAGCATACTTCTAGGGATCGCCTCTTTGAAAGTACCCATCAGCTTGTCAGTAAGCAATTCTCGTAAGGAGATACCACTGACAGCCTTGCCAGCGTGTTGTTGCTGCTGGCAGTTGCCATCTTCGAAATACTTTCGAGTGCCTCTGTCTCTCACAGAAAACGAATACGCAGGGGGTCTTGATTTTAATTTGTATAAAACAAGTCTGGTCGATGACTCGCTTTTGAATTTTTGGTTATCTTCGTTTTTAATACTTATTCTATAAAAACAGAGATTATCTTTTTGCTCCTTGTTTTTTCCACCTCGTACTTATCATTGTGCTAAAATACCCTTTGTATTGGTTGAGCTGCCTTATGTGCACTAAGGTGCACGCTTTATTACATCTTTCCCTATGAGGTGTTGTATTCTGTGAAAAAAAAAAAAAAAAAACCAGTGGCTTTTTGTCTTATAAACTAACAATTTTGAAATGGTGAATGAAACAAAGATAATGTATTTCTTACACTTTCAGTAAAATAGTCAATTTTCCAGCGGTTTTCAGAATTGTGATATTTTCTCGTGATTAATCACAAAAATTGTAAGGAAAAAATGTGTTCGAAATTCATTAGAAATATGTTCGCGCCCGTTATCTCCAGCTGTCTTTTCCCTCCGTCGCCCCTCACTCTTCATCTCCTTTTCCCACCCATTTTCGCAGCCGGATGTGTTTTTTTCAAAAAGAAATTTTTTAGTCTGAAAATGGTACGGTTTAATCAGTTTCGTTACTTTATTTGTTTATGCTTTTTCACTGAAACATATTTAGCACTGCCAAAGTTCCAGCAAAACTCGTGGACCAGAAATCAGTGTCATATTTTTGGTTGTTCTGGATGTAAAAATCTCATGATAAACGTACCATTTTCACAAGTATGTGATAAATCTACACTGTTGAAAAAGGTACAGAGACGCAAATTCCACAGATATTTCAACTAGTGAACTCCCTCAACGTGGTTGTTGATGTGGCAGTGCTTAACACTTACACCGACTGAAGTCTTGTCAAAGTTGAAAGAAATAAATGAGAGCCAAGACCGCCAGCATGCTGACCACCAAATGATACTGTATTGGTCAAAACGGCTGTAAAAGTTGCCAATTTAACAGCTAAAAACGACGTTGCGAGCTGCAGCTGATTAAATTATTAAGATAAGTAATACCCAGCCATCAATATTATCTGACCTTGGGTTGGATGTTATCAAAACACAACTTTTCTAGCTCCGCACATCCTGGCTCGCCGCGCAACTGTGATTTTAATGTTTTTTTTGAATGTTTATACGGCCTCAAAAAAATCAACTTCGCTTCATTCATTTACTTCTTGACGTGCGTGAGGAAAGAGCACTGAAGAATTCAGCTTGTAATTTGATTCATTCATTCACAGTCATCTTATAATGAACTAGAAGCAATAAGTGACAGACGTAAAATTTAATTCAGTGTGCGAGATTCAGTTGGAAAATCGAGTAATTAGCTAAAGTATCACTAATTATAAAAATGATGCGTTTGAAATGAGCTGACGAGCAATAATTTTCGCATTTTTTACTTTCTGTGTTCTTGTCAAAAAAAATCCGAAATGTGAAAATTAATTTAACACTAAGTGGTTATTAGTGGATATAGATGAGCGAAAATGAAAAAATACACATCCAAAAATAACACTGTAAATATCAGTAGAAAGAAGCCAAACCAACTTATTTAAAATATGAGTATATGATAGTATCAACTAGGATGTGATAGTATCTTATGATAGTATCAACACAGTATCTTATGATAATATAATAGTATTTTATGAGTATATGATAGTATCAACTAGGATATGATAGCATATATGATAGTATCTTATAAGATAGTATGTTGATCCGTTAAGTTATATACGTCTTATCCTGGTACCGCAAATGGACTTCATCAGCATAACAGTTGCGGAAAAAATTTATATTTTTATTTAAAGTGTTAGGTTATAAGTTTGAATCAGTGCTTTCAGAAGCAGTATCGTAATTTAGAGCTATCTCTGAAACTAGAGCTCTTGGAGCTAAAATATTTTTCCAACTACACAGAGTTTTAAAACCGTGTACTCACCTGAAAAAAAGTGTAACCCTCAAAAAAGTGACTATTTGATTGACCCGAGAAGCTATGTTATTTTTGCGGAATGCGAGTTATAAGTGAAAAAAATGCAGTTCTGGATCGAGGAACCTGGCATAGCTGAGGCCAGCAGCACCAGTATCCTTCGATCTTCAAACGGCTTGTCTGAGAAACCCTAGCAGTGTTGTTTCTGTGCAAAAAGTGCAAAATTATGTCCGTGTGTTATTATGCGGTAAAAGGAAGTTCCTTTGAAGCAATTTGTTTTGCAGGCGTTCCAAACGCGATTAATCACCAAGCAATTGTGGCTGCCTTATCTCGGCCTTTATTTCACTGTCTCAATCGGTGTATGTTGCGATTCAGGATTGAAGAACTTGAGACGCTGCATCCAGCAGCACCATTGACCCTGGATCTTCAGCTGGTTTGTCCGGGAAATCCTAGTAATTGTAATTCTGCGCGTAAAATGTAAAACTTCATCCGCGTGATTTTTTTTTTGTGCGGTAAAAATAAGTTCCTTAAAAGTGATTTTTTGCAGGCGCTCCAAGCGCGATTGATCGCCAAGCGATCGCAATTGCCTTATCCAATCCTCTACTCCATTGCTTCATCGGTGTGTATTTTTACTATTACCTGTATATTATCTGTACATTATCTGTTTTCATTATTGATTGTATTGGTACTACTACTACTATCACAGGTGCTCCGAGCTCCCAGCTCATTCCACGCAACACAAACAACAGTAGAGGAACCGTCGCCTTGGGCTTGTAATTTTTGAGCTGTGTATTAATAAGCAAGCTGCAAAATTCGCATAAATTTTCGAACTTGCCGGTAATTTTCGTACATTTTCGGTAAGTTTTGCTATCATTAAATGAGTACATATGAATGTAGCACTGGTGAAACCAACGAGCAAATGTCATCTGCTGCATAGCCAGAGAACTCAACTACAAATTACAAATGATAGAATCATCAAACAGTCTATGCGGGCAACTAGAAAAAAAACATGCTTCAAAGAAAACGATTCGTAGCCGCCCTCAAAATCATCAGCTAATGCGGGTCTCGACAGCGATTTCCACCTAACGGGATTTTAATCCGTTAAAGATGAAACTTTTTTCTGTTGCCATGATAATTTTTTTGATGAAATTTTGTATTTTTTCCATCCTTCTGTTTTGGAATGTTGTAGATCCAGGCAACTTCAGATGGATTTTCAGGTTGACCCGACTTCACCGATAGCTTTTTAGGAATACTTTTACAAGTGAGTATTTCGATCTTTTTTTCCTTGGCATTTTTTTTTTTTTTTTCTTGCTCATTTTCGTTTTTCTCGATTTTTATGCATTTTGTTTCTGCAGCAGCTTCCAAAAAGCTGCAAAAGCTTGCCCGATATTTACAACAATCCATGAACCAGAAAACTACAAAGCTGAAATTTTAGGAGTATGTTCTCTGCTCGTTTACGAGCCCAATTCAAATTCAGTTTAAATACAAGCTAGCGTAACATGACGACTAAAAGTTTTAGCAGGAGCCATTCTGGTTTGCACGGAAAGCTGAAATCAGAGAAGGATGTTTCCTGCCCATCGGCTTTTTAAGTAAAGCCAGGTCTAATTTTTTAGACGCAGTTAAGAAAGAAAACTAAAATCTTCGAAGATGTTTTCTAACTTATGCAATCCTACAGAATTAAATTACGGTCCGCACTGCATCCCACTTACCGCCTCAATCTCTGGCTTTCTTCTATATGTGTGCTGCAGAACGAAGAAGAAATTACCCTCTCAATCTCTGATCGCACTGCATTTCTATAACCCCGTCAATCAGTGGTTCTCTTCTGTCTGCATTTTAGAACCGAAGCAAAGTGTCCTCTCAATCTCTGTATTTTCGTAATCCTCTCAATCACTGTTTTTCTTCTTCATCTACACTTTAAAACAGAAAGTAATTGCCCTCTCAATCTCTGCCACCGGCCGAGTTCTATTTCTGCAACCCTCTCAATCTCTGATCCTCTTCTACATCTGCGTTTTAGAACACAAAGGAAGTGCCCTCTCAGTTTCTGCCACCGGTCGAATTGTATTTCAGTAACTCTCTCAATTACTAGTTCTCTTCTATATCAGCATTTTAGAGCAGAAGCGAAGTGCCCTTTGCCTGCAATCGCATTGTATTTCCTTAACCCTCTCAATCTTTGGTTCTCTTTATGTTTCTACTATGACAGATAGAAAATACCCCCTCAGTCTTTGTAGCGTCGTATTTTCATTACTCTGCCATCTCTGGTCCTCTTCTTTGTATGTGCTATTGGACGGAAGAGAATTGCCCTCTCAACCCCTGTCACCGTTTGAGTGTATCTTCGTCACTTGCTCATTCTCTAATTACCTTTTGCGTAAGTGTGTTCAGCCTTCATGTTTGGCTGAGTGAAAATTTTGTTGCAAAGTTTCTTAGCTCGGGGATCAAGCAACAGTTCGGCTATATCTGCACAACAAACTGTAAAATAGAGAACATTTTTAACAGCAAACGTCTGCTGGACAAACTGCGTAAAATGCATAGTCGTATCGACTACCCTGGTCAAGTTGTTACTTATTTATTTTGTGAGATTTTCGTTTTTCATTTCCTAAAATTTATTGCATCAGTCTGGGTTCGTTTTTCCAGTCTTTTTAAAAACAGATTTGCTTTTTAGATGTAATTCTGCCTTTCAGCAAAATTTATTATCTCTTAACTAATTTCACACTCATTCGTTGAAATTTGCTTTCGTTCAAATTTTATACCTTCTTGGTGGTAAAAAGACGCTGTTTGCTTTAGTTTAATTCAAATAAAAAGAATGCTTTGTCAAAAATTGACTGCGCCGGGAGGAAAATGGCTAAGACAGCCCAGCGTCGACGTAACTTATCGCATCTTTGTAATTTTGCTGGAGTGCTTTCACTCCCAGATACAGCTGTGCCAGGCCGTTCGGTACTGGCCGAGAGAAAGTATTAGACAGACATTGGAATTCTTGATATCGGTATTGCTGGGGAGTCAAAAAAACCTCTGAACTGCTGGATAGGTTGAAATTCTGGAAAACGCAGAATCCTGGAAAGACCAGTCGGAAGTGTCGGAATCTATTAGCATCTCAGATCACATAAGATCTGCGAAAAACCAATTTCGAGATTTCCGACAGAAATGAGAGTAAATTCCATTCATCCTCATCCATCTTACAATTTTTATTTTGTGCTAATTTCGATTTTTAAAAAATTTTAAAAATTTAAAAATTCGAGCCTGCAGTCTCATGGCGAATGGTTCTTGCACGTGTCATAAGACATTTCTGTTCAGAAAAAAAATTTTTGATCAAAGAGGAAAATACTTGTCATAATAGCGCTGTTGTTAGCTTTCCATTAGACACTTTGGCTTCAATTTTTTTCACCTTAACACCTCGAAAATCATATAATAATGACTAATATATGATTCACAATAACTTGCTTATTCCGTTTTTGTTCAACAAGTCGGATTTATTGTGAAGCACTAGCATGACTGCAACGATTTTTTTGTGTAAAGTCAGGGCGGAAGAGAAAGGTGGAACAAAGGATTTTTTT